ATTTTTCTATGAATGGAATGGAATGGTACCGGGATAAACATACTGTTGTTTGGTGTAATACAACTTTCTGATATGTTTCATCTACTATCCCATAACAGCTTTTTATAATTATACTTTTGCGTGAGTACGATACACATTGATCGCAGAAGATATAGCGGAAAGAGCGATGGTTAGTTTCTCAAGCTTATCGCCTTATCTATATTACATTATCTCACTCTTGATGGATTTCCGGAACTATATAGCTAAGTAAAGCGATATATGGTTTGTACGAAACCTTAAAAGGTATATAGATGATGACAAAAGTTTAAACCTTTTTCAGGTTCAGTAGAGTACCTTTGTTTTTTAGAGAGTAAGCGTTGTCTTTGATTCAAAAGTTGTGGAGGTGGTTCACATGCGATCTGCAGGTATAAGTTCCTATAGTAAAGAGACAGAGCGAGTGCAAACGAGTGTTATCTCGTCGTGAATACTGTGCTAATAAATGGAAAAAACAAGCGCCCTCTCGTATGCACAGAGAGAGGGGCATAGTACGAAAGGTTTTCTGTTACTATACTTTCAAGAGGTGTATGAAAATTGTTCGAGTATGAAACCTTGAAGAGTATGATACAAAAACCTTGAAGGGTATCTTACGAAATCTCTTCGATCACTAAACCTTACTGAGGTTTCGCAGATCCATACCATACCTGATTGGTATGGGAAAGTTCCATAGAACCTCGCAAGTTTCATACCATACCTTTTTTTTCCAGAGTAGGCATAAAAAGGACGATGAAGATAACGGAGGTGAAGAGAAATATGCTTGGAGTAAAAAAGGTAGGAACAAAGCCGCGAAGAAAGATGATGTACGGGGAAAGTCACGAATTACAAAAGCACTGAGGAAGGTGACGGAGAACGTCGATGAACCTCGACGCCGAAGACGTTTAAAGCGGTATGTAAATAGACAGGTACCTTATTTTAGAGAGTAGTAATACATTTTTTCTCTTGGTTTTTGTGTACAGTGCTGGAAAATTATCGTGTTCTCCCAAATGTTGTCTGGCTGCCTTAGTGCCAGCAGTTTTAGGTTTACTTGCATTAATAGGAGCAATAACTGGAGTGTTGTTAGGCAGAGCGACGACAACTATGCCAGCGAGTAGGGTAAATTCTATTCATCACCTTCCTCTTACATCATATAAACGTTTTTTTAGATACAACAACCATGACATTCACGAGTGAGCGCGCCAGTTTTTCAAACCTGCTGATTTTCTACAGTTCAACCGCTTTTGGTTTCTTAGCTAGTACCGCAACAACATCTTCTACTACAACGTTAAGTAAGTGCTTCTTCACTGGAAACTGGCGGTGAGAATATTTCTGGTCCGGTTGTGATCCCGCAATATTTTCTACGCGTTCTCCAGCATCACCTGGGGCAACTTTTCACCGGAAAGTAACTAAAACTATTGAAATAGGAATTATTCCTACACCAGCTTAATGTTCTCCTATTTTTAAGAACTCGATTTCATCTTCTTTATTGTTCCTGATTTTGCCCTGCTCAGTAACGTTTTCCGGTAAATTTGTTTTGTGCGAATATGCACCGTTTTTCAGTCATAAAGTTGGTTTTTTGTCCCAATCGCACCTAACACAACGGAAGAACGTCCATTTTCTGCATTACTGAAATATGTTTTTCCCGCTTAAATTGGGACAAAATAAACAGCGCTGTTTTTGAGAAAAGGACTTGAAACATCACGGACAGAAAACATCGAAACAATAAGTTTCGGTTACTTCTAAACAGTCTAATGATCGTGTGGCTAAAAACTGACGGTATTCTAATGAAACGAAAAGTAAAATTGAAGAAGAGAAGGACTACTGCTTTTTTTGCATCACTCGGTGATTTATTTTGTACACGATGCTATGTGTAGTGATGCTTTACTATAACTTGTCGCTGCTGCTTCAGCCTTAAAAGAGGGACTTTTGTGTGTTTTTGCTCACTTCTTAATATATTCCTGGAGACAAAGAAGTTCTTCCATCGGAAAAACAGAAAATAAAAACTGTCGGTAAATGCCCAAAACTTGAACCCAACACCAGAAAAAGCTTGGTTTAACCGTGTTCATCGCCTACGCTGGTGACTGAAGTGTGGAGCGGGTAACAGACTCCGCCACTCTTCATGACCATTATATGCATTAAAGGCATGTATCGAAATTAATTTTGATTCTTCAGCCACGACAACCAGCAGCACTACCTCTACAAGTAAGTTAGTTTGAGATCTCTACCCAAGGAATTTATTTATTGCTTTCTTATGCACACTGTTTGTCAGCAACGTCGACAACGTCCACTACAACGTCTTCTACAACGTCGACTACAACGTCTTCTACAACATCCACTACAACGTCTTCTACAAGTATGTGTGTCAATAGGACGTCACTGTCTATACTTCCCTAAAACTACTGTAATGTGAATGAATGCTTTTCTACAAGGAAATGATTAGACGAGTGTTTGAATTTAAGAGGAAATGAACTGTGACAAGGCGCTTACTATACGAAAAACTCAACTGTGCAAACTTCATTTAAATCAACTAATCATTCTCTCTTATATGTCGAGAGTTAGGAACAGAACTTTGAGAACGCTTCCTGATGTGCGTCATCTCTACGGAAAGCATTCTTACGATAAGACATTATGATCGTCAGTATGATTCTTACATATTTTTTGACAGAATTATAAAACATCATCAACTCTCTTAAATGTTTTAGTCGCAGTATTTCTAATTTAGGTACTTCCACTTCGACAACCACATCGTCGACAACGACAACAACAACAACTTCGACTAGTAAGAAATGACTTTTATTTTTTTGAATTTTGTTCGTTGTGTGCTGATTTTAATATGCTATCCAACAGTTTGATTCGAGATTATTCTTCTTACTTGACCTAATTTCCATTCCTAAGTTTCCATTAAAGTCTGGTTGTTCTACTCGTATTAGCTTTTTCGAGACTATAAATATCCTGACTCTTCTATAGCCTATTCGTAAAGCTTGAGCCAGTTACTGGATCGCTATATCAGAAGAAAAGGGAATCTTTGTGCTGTTCTTCTATTTCTTACTAAATAAAGTTTATATCAATAGCGACATCCACTACTACTACTACAACAACAACAACAACAACGACGACGACGACGACAACAGGTAAGAAAACATTTGAAGTACTTTTGTTTTGAAGATATACATTTCTACTTGTTCTGTTTTGAAGATACGTCGACAACTACTACCTCGAGCAGTGAGTACAAAAGTGTTGGGTTAACATTAACACACACAAAACTGTAAGTTATATTTTTTCAGCTACGCCTAGTACAACTAGTACGACCACTACGACCACAAGTGGGTTTTATCTGTCTCAAATCTTTCACATATTTCTCACTTGCTATCAGCTTACGTGCCGTTATAGCCACAAGTACCGACACTTCAACCACCACTACAGGTAATGAGCTAGAGAGCAATTGCGCCACACACAATGCACTTTTCTACAAATAAAGACTTTAAAACGAAATTCGAATACAGTTGAAAAAGTAGGACATGGAAATTTCTTTTTTTCTTTCGCTGGAAATGGCCCCAAACAAAATAAAATTCTTGAAACTTCTCGAAGTCTAACTCCATTTACCTCTCACGTCTGCTCCATGGAAAACGGAAAACAATCATTAACCTCTATGAAAATGGTAACGCTGTCATGTCGAGAAAATCTGTTCTGCAAAGTCTGCCTTGCTAAACCACTTCGCGACAGTTTTGCAGAAAATGAGGGACAAATGGGAATAAACATAATCTTATGAATCAAAATATTCGTAATGTGTACAGACATAAAAACTAGTTCCAACTCATAATCTGACGAATATTGAGCATTATGGTCTACTATTATTGCAGCTACAAGTACAAGTACGAGTACAACATCCACCACTAGTAAGTGAATGTCTATTCTTCATAATTTTAGATGCATAAATCTCCTCAAAAGTTTGCTATCCTTTCTTTTATTTCAGCTACAACCAGCACAATCAGTTCTACGACAAGCAAGTCACTTTTCGATTTTAACTCCGTTTAATACGAACCAGTAGAACCTGTACTTTTAGGCACTACCACGACTTCAAGTACAAGCACCACAACCACCACTTCGACTTCAACCACGAAGACTACAAGTAAGTTAGAGAAACAAAACTAATTTCTTGACTTTTACTTATAATCAGTCGAGTTTTATTTTTCTTTAGGCACTACGACAACCAGTGAAATTTGATAAATACTATAATTATTCGTGTCGGTTCATGTAGGTTTTATTTAATTTTAGCTACATCCACCACCACCACCACTACATCGACAACAACAACAACGAGCAGTAAGTCTGCACAGTTCAAAGTAGGTTATGTAAAAGCGCTACTTTGAATATTGTAGCTACATTCACCACTACCACCACTACATCGACAACAACAACAACGAGCAGTAAGTTTGACAGTTCAAAGTTGGTTTTGTAAAAGCGCTACTTCGAATGAAAAGTCTGGTAGAAATTTCTAACCAGGTTTACTCATAACTCGCGCCGAAGATCCACTCCTTTTATCTCTACACCAACCCAGAAAGTCTTTCTCTTACCTCACTCCTTATTTTAAACTAACACTTGTAAAAGAACAACTACCACAGTTCTAAGGCACAGCAACGCCAACACTACAATACTCTGTGGCATTTTCGTAATATAATGGCATTCGGAAAGCTTGTTTGAGGCTAACTCGTGGGGAATTAAAATAAGAAACTAACCTTCAATCTGGCGAGCTAGACATGCACCAAGCTCGAGCCGGGCTCCAAAGCTCGACCTTGAGCCGGCTTGACTATTTTTAACAAAATTGCAAATATTGTTTGCAACTTCTCTGAAAAGTACTTAGACTATATCGATCATTCTCTATGCAAAATTCAATCGATGAGCCACTCCTGTCGGTGTTTGTTTTAGCCAAATTCTCTGTACACTAGCTTCACAGCATAACTGAGTGATTTGTGAATAGTTTATGCATTAAGCATTTGTGAAAGTTGCGCCTAGAGTAAAAATGTGAAGAATCAAACTCTGTACATTTGTTGTCCAGCGCCATCGGTTTAGATGCCGCTCTTAAGTAGTTTGTGGATATGACGAACATGCCGCCGGATACACGACGGACACTGGCAGTCGAACTCGACGGCCTGAAACTTGGGGGAAATTTTGGTGTCAATGATATCGTGTATGTAAACTAGGATATTCGAGTTTGCGAACACGACAAGCTGGGACCTATCCAAACTTCTGGTGTCGATGATATCACATATATAAGCTGGAATATCCTAGGTTGTGGACACGACGAACATAGCGTAAAATTGAGTACATTTGCCTCGGCTGCGTTTACACAAACTACCAACCACGAAGTGTAATAACGCTTTACGTAAGTAAGCTACTTGCTATGGAGGAGTTTCACTTGTAGACCCTAAAGTTTAAGTTGACAAGCTTTTTGATTCTAGACTCAACTTTCGGAAATGCTTTCTGCAGATGCTGCAAACAATACTTGCAATTTTGCTAAAAGTAGTCGAGCCGCCTTGAGTTCGGCCTGATTGGTTTTATGCATACCTATGCCAAACCAAAGACACTCTAGATAAGTTGATATATAGTATGAAATTCATCTTGCATAGATTGCGTCTGATTTGCAACGCTCGTTGCTGAGATATCTTCGATACAAAAGCGCTCGGTTTCCAGCTGAAAAGTGCAGATGCCGATCTGGTAAGTTTTTCAAACAGAAATTGTGTAGAACTAAGAAGTATCTCATGAATTAGAAAGAAAATTTGAGTCTAGGCATGAGCACAGAAAGCAGTCAGAAAATACGACTTTTCCCGTTTACTCGAAACATAACAGGAGAAATAATAGGACAAGGACATTAAAAACTAAGATTTCTCTTCACAGAAAAGTCAAAATCAGCTCCACCTCACATCATTTGAAAGAGGAGTTTCTGTTCTACAACGTATACCTCAAAGTTTGTCTACATGGACTTTTCTTCCTCTATTACGACCCACACTTTGAGCGCATTTCGTCTGTCTTCTGATACATCAATCGATCAATGAGCTTGGTGGATAGCACTAGTGCGGTACCAAAGAAAAATAAAGTGTACCTAAAATACAATTCGTGGAGTTTTTGTATTTTGTATGTTTACAGATGCGGTTTTAGGAATTTCTTGCAAGCTTTCGACTTTATTGGCCAGCTCAGGCACTAGTTACGCCATGCAGAAGAAATCATCAAATTTACTGTGTCTCTATCTCAAGAACGACTGTTGCCACTAACGTAAGATGAAATTTGTTACAGGATGAATTTCATGATCTATGCTACATACCTCGCCTGTGTAGAGCGTTATTAATTCTGTGGAATAAAAGCTAGCTTTTTATATTATTTCCTACATTAATATAATTTCTGCCACGATGTTCAATATGTGTGAATCCAGCGACGAAAAACACCATTTTCTGGTGCAGTTTCAAACGATTACAATTTCTCTATTACATAATATATCTGAGAGATATACTCTAAGACTGTGATTTTGCTATCAGAGAAATACCAAGAAAGCTTTCATATGAATAACTGATTTCAGCTGTAGCAATGTTTGAAGAGTTATGTTGCTAGTTACTTTACATTCTATTGCATCATTCGCGTAATTGCTTCATACCAGTGCCGTCTTGCTGAATGCGATGAGTCTAATGAAAAAATTCTCTAGCTACAACTACGACAACTACAACCAAAACGACAACCGGGACAAGTACCGCTGCATGTGAGTAATTATACTTCTAATGCTCTATTTATAGTCTACCAAGTGCACTTATTTGTGTATATTCTAGCTACAAAAACAACCACGAGTAATAATTAATTTTTAAAGTGTGGTAAATAACTATGAGAACTGTAAATTTCTTCTACTTTTATTTCACCACAACAGCACCATCAACAGCGCTATGCGGAACACCGTCCGGCTCAAGCTATCTTCTCTACATTTCATCCTATTCTGGCTTTAGTATTGGTTCATATACAAATTATTCATACAGCTATACTGCTACTGCTAACTCAGCGCAATTACTTTTTATTATCAACCCAGCACCTTCTAATCAGTTGTATATCGACAATGTGTCAGTTAAAGACAGTAGTGGTACACAACTGCTAGTGAACAATGACTTTTCCAGTAGTATTACAACCGGTTGGTCAGTATTTTGTACATGTTCCGGCGGCGGTGGTGGATATCAGGCAAGTGTTGGATGTTATGGTGGCACTGGAACATGTTACTATGATGACTGTTCGGGTAGTTGGCACTACTTGGCACAATCGATTGGCACTGTTGTTAGTGCAGTGTATACAATTGGTTTTTCATTGGCAATTGATCCAGTTGGAAGCACAAAGTATGGAATGGGAAGTTCGTCCCAAGGTGCCCTTATATATGTTAAAATGAATTGAATAAACGATGATTTTTTCAAACTGTGGTTTGATTGTGTTCAAAGTTTCTTATTTTTTGGTGTCTAAAAGAATGCCTGCATCAAAAAAGATTATTTCATCATCAATAAAATTAAATCATAAGTTCATAGATCTTTTTCGTTTCAAAATACAAAAGTAGCGGGTATTTCGCGAGCAATCATCTTGGTGGTTGCGAGTTGTACGGTTGTGTGTGAGACTTCATGACTCCATCGAATATCTTACAGTAAGGTCATAACATGGTCAGAATTAAGAGACATCTTTTTAAATGTTCAGATTCAACAATTAAAACGCGGCTTATCAAAATAGTTTTAGGCTTTTTGGACTTATTTTGGCCCACTTAATGACTTCTTAAAATGAGGTCCAACGACGATTTTCATAAAATGAGCTTTGCAGTATTTTCGATATAACTCCGCTTGATTCCAAGTTTTTGCTGAGCTACAACGTAAAATCCAAACCAGTTCGAGCTCTTTTAACTCGTATAATTGATCACTTCTTCCTATCCTTATAAGTGATCACTTTCTCACGCTTAATTCTTGGTTCACGATTAATACAAATGAAACAGCTTTTCTCAAAACGGCGATAGCCCCTTTTTTAAACTATTACTAGAAATAGCATAGCAAAACGTTCAATTTTCCATCGGGCTGAAAATAAGAGAAACGAAATACATATTCTGATTCGTAATTTCACGAGGATTCCGAATATGCTACCCGTTTTCTTGGACAACTCTTAGTTTTCGAGAAAGGAGCGAAATACTGTTTTTGCGTGGAAACTAGCGCTTTTTATTCTATTCTCCCATTTTTCTCCGTTCTGAATATATTCTTTTTTTCTCTGATTTCTCTTATTTTCATGTTATCAGAATGAAGAGACAGAACGAAAAACAGAATAATCATGTACAGAACACTGATTATGTATAGACAGTTACATTTTAGTGTGAATGTTCATACTCTTCAATTCACAAAATCACTCACTATGAATTTAATACACTATCAACTTGATTGCCTTTCTCTAATATTTAAGCCGAACTAAAAGCAACCTTTTCCGATTTGTAGTGAGCCGCAGACTATTCAACTTGGGCATTAAGATAGACTGTTTTTCAAAAAGGCTAGAGAGTCTAAATGTTAAGCTATTTGTTTTGCAATTTAAGTGTCTGGCTGAACAAAACACAGCATCCTTCTGCATATATATTATATATTGGAGCAAATTAAATATTGATGATCAATTCATTGTTTGACTACCATGACTTTCCGGCTTCCTCTTCGGGTCACAGTAGCAAATCTTCCATTCGACTTCATTGTACTTTGTATGCTTTTCGAAGTTTTCTAAAAGATGTTCTCTTTTATGTATGGGAAAAGAGAGCTAACACTCTACTAACATGAATAATTGAAATATTTGTTTTGAACAATTATGTATTTTTTTCTGACTGGAACCGACGACGTATAGTGGGTTTTCCACATTCAGCTTCACGGTTTCCAACACTATAGCTGAACTCTGGACACCAGAAGCAGCAGTTCTAATTATCGCTCCTTTTAATGTTCATAATTGTGGTATACTTTTTGAAAATCCGCAAATGAATATACGTTGGAAGGAAATAAGAAAAGTACAATTTCTACATATTCATCGAAATGTTCATTCATCTTATGGGCAAGAAACTATAATACCTGGTTACTCGATATTCTGAAACACTAACGCAGTAACTAAAATCGTCCACCTTGAGGATTAGATGGAGAATTGAAA